CTGAAAGGTTTTCTCTTTTCTTTGCAGTTTTATGCTAATAAAGCAGGGTCCCCAGCAAAGTTTTATGCTCCATGCGATACCACGTGTGAAGTTAAGGAAGAACCTGTGAAGGAAAAACAGGCAATATAAGGATGCCAATGAACTATGAAGTCCCTGCTGTATACCAGCAGAGGCCATGGAGACGTGGCTCCCAAATTTTGGCAATGCATTTAAAAATTGATACCTATTCGGTAATCATTCTTCCTTAAGGAAACACTAATCTATTGATCCATAAGATTTTTAAGCCTCCAAGATCCACTGGCCCCAAACTGGAGATGACCGTGGGGGCAATACTCATCTTGAGCAAGTTTGACGTCCACTTTGCTTGCCTAACCCCCAAATTAGTAGCCTTCTGGAGAGGAAAGGGGTTCTAAATGAACTCCATGCCTGCTCACTAAGACCTGAAGGAGCAGAGCTGCTCTTCAGTCTCTCTCCTTCTCCCCAGTCGTCTCAACCCTAGCAGTCACAGGCTGAAGCAGCCACTGGTGGTGCCTGTGCCACTTGGCGTAAAACACTGGGGTTCTCGGTTCCCCCCCGGATGGGTTCTCTGACACCGGGCACCTCAGCCACCATGTCTGCAAGAGCAGTGAGAGCCTTGCCTGGCTCCAGCATTGCCAAGGCCTTGGTGCCACCCAGCAAAAGGTGGGTGGCACCATCCCCTCCCTGTGCAGGGCTCTGCTGGGCCAGAAGTGTTAAGCTGTGAGTGAGTTTTATGTTCTTTCCAGTGGGATGTTGCTAAAAGCAGTCGGAAAGCTGCTTCTTTGAATATCTGATTTTTACCTCAACAATTGCTCTTGACATTTCCACAGCTTTAACATTATTTTTCCCTCTCCTTCCTTCCTTTTCTGTGCATTGTTTTTCTGTGACGGTCTTTTTCTCTTCATTGGTTATGCTTTTGTGAAGGACTTTGCATTATGTTTTCCTTCAAATTGTTCCATTTCAAAGTTTTCACTTTATTTCAAACTTCCTAGTTGCTGTGTGACTCTGCTGTGTGGTTTCTAGGTCTTCTTTTGCTTTACAGTGTCCTTTTTCTCTTACGCGCTTTCCCTTGAACAGCTCTATAGTGATGATAGCATGAAAAATTTCTGTATCCCTCTGTGTCTCCATACAGAATTCTAAAATATCAGTGAGAGAAAGGGAGACAAAGCAAGCATTGTTTTAATATAAATAAGGGATATTTATTTACAGGATATTTATTTTCAAAAATTCCCTAATAGCATGAAGAGAAACTTCGCCATTTTATAAAAAGTACGTGCTTATTTTCCTTCGTACGTTCTAGTCATACCACAGGCTTTCTACAAAAAGAACAAGCATTTATTTTTGGGCTGTGTGCCCAGAACAGCTACTGCACGACCATTGTCCTGCCAGGATTTGGTGCTGAGAAGGTGCAGCGTGATGTTCAGAGTGCTCCTCGTTATCCTGGGGGCTGTTGTGAATAGCAGGGGCTGCAGGTCTCTGCATCAGGGTGGGTTTACGTTTTGACTCACTGTCAGAGAGTGGCATAGCGTTATATATATTCTGTTATAGATATGTGGGAGAGTACGACTCCTGAAGTCCTCTCAAACAGATCCTTTTCAACTCAAAACACTCAATTCCTGGAACAGTTTCACGTGTGTGGCACTGGGTCTGATCTGAAGCCCACCGAGACCAGCGAGCGCCTTGCTGCTGGTGCTCAGTCAGGCTGTAACTGGATTTAAAAAGTGACCTACATCTTTTGCTCTGTATCTCTCAGGCTCTCTTTGAGTAACCATCCATAGGTGGTCTAAATTTACCACTGCAGTGGGAAAACCTGAATCCACGAGCAGCAGTGGGTCTAGCTATTTAAACTGCTTTTCGTCCTGATTTCAGAACCATGAGTAAGACTTGCATTTAACAGTTTTCTCCGCAGAGCAAAGCTGGTGAATATTTTCTGTGGTGACCATTTTTGTTTGTGGTTCATAGATATACCAACAGGAGCTACACTGGGGACCAGCAGAAGAAGGCTTTCTATAGCAGATATTCCTTATTTTGCTTACTGACACAGGTTTGCTAGCCTGGCATGTTTTTTGCTTTCCAGTATAGTCGTGTTTAGACTGAGAGGCCTTTTCCAGCTTGGAAGTTCTGCCAGTAGACTTCAGCCTTTTTTGAATTTCAGATGCGGGAAGATACAGATGGGCTTTCTACAGCTGTGTCTTGCCCTGCTGCTGTTTTGCCCTGCCACGGGGGCAAGGTAGTGCCAGTCAGCCAGCACCACCAAAGGCTCATTAGGAATAGCTGTAGGACTGCAAGTGAGTCCTCAGACCTCAGCTCTGTCACCCAAAGCAAGCTGACAGGTTTATAAGTGTCTGCTTCATATCTCAGGAAAAGTGGAAGCGCCTTTTGAAGATGCTATCAGACCTTTTGTCATCTCTTTTCCTTTCCTCATGAACACTCTTACTTCTTATGTAAAGTGTCACAGAATCATCAGTTAAATTAGTGGAGTGATACTGCTTTGGAGCAGTTGCTGTCTGTGCAGAAGGGGACAGTGGGCTTTGGGAGTGAGGCTGAGGTGCATGGTAGGCACCAGCGCATGAAGAGAGCAACCCATCGCTCAGGGCAGATGAGCGAATGGTGTCTGGCTGACCACTTCAGGAACAAATGTGACGCCTTTGGAGACAGCTGAGACAAACACTATTTAAACTGTGTTTAAAATGCGCCTTGTTAATACAGAACTTTTAATTTAGCACTGGGAAGGTAACATGTCCTGTTTGCTACCCACCTCTGTGAGCCTTTAGGATGAAGGTTGTTTTTTTTTCTCAGGGAGCGGCTGGTTAGAAGTGCAAGAAACCCTTGTGGTTTCTGGGATTTGAGCAGATCAGCCAGGCAGATCAGCTCGCACATCCCAGCCTGGGATGCAGGAGCTGGGCGGCAGTGGACCGTGTACAAAGCAGAAATGCAATGCAGGACCTGAGGTCGGTGGTCAGCAGTGTCTGGTTCTGCTTCTTCCACCGGGGAGAGGGATTATTTCAGCGTAACAGAACTCCCTGCGGCTCTGCGATGTGCTGCTCCCAGCAAAGGGCACAGTGATTCATCCACTAAATGGGTGTAGCAAAACCACTAGCGATTCACTGTTGTTTGTAATAGGGGTACCTTGTATTATGCCTGATTTTTTAATTGTGGTATTATAAGAACACTTTCTGGAATTAAGAGACCATTATCTTAAAGTGTCTCCTGAATCAAACTGTTTTCTCACACGGCAGTTTCTCTCAAGGTAAAGATAACATTCCCAGAGGCAGCTGGATGGGAAAACTGGAGGTCTCTTGATCCCGTCTTCCAAGAGAATCAGACTCTTTTTCTCAGATGCAAACTATTGGGTATGCAGGGGGGTGGGAGGGTTGTTTCTCAGCTACTCGTGACGGTTAATACCAAAGCACTTGATCACATCAGTGTTTTGAGCTACTGGTTTTACAGCCAGGTGCTTGCTGCCATGAGTTGAGGTTTCATAAATTAGGCCTTTATATATTCTGCAAAATATTAACAGGTTTGCTCTCCCTGCACACTCTTCATTCATTGCTACATAAAAGCAGAGAGCAATTTAGCTCCCTGGCAGTGTATTTTAGTAAGACAGCAAATTGTCTGTGTTTACTTATGCTATATAATGCAGTAATTGTACTGCAAATCTTGGCCAAGTTCCTGGATAGTTGGGGCCTAAAAACAAGCTCTTAAATTCATATTTAGCTTCCTAAATAGAAGATCTGATATTTCAAGTACTGAGTCCATCCTGATTCTTGTTAACTTTTTTGGAAGCCAGGGGGCTGCCAGCATTTTGAAAATCAGGCCTGCTACTTATACCCACACTGGTATGGGGAGGCCAAACTGTGTTTTGGACTCCTTTTAATATTTGCCTTTGTAGTATTGCAGTGCCTGTTTTATTCCCTGCATGGCAATAATTCCTAGTGGAGCTTATTCACGTTGACAAACTATCAGTTTGGATTGATTAAAATGTCCAGTAAAAAAGTTGCCAGCAAGGTCATTATTTGAAATCTTTGCTGGTAGATGAAGAGATGCACAGAGCAAGAATATTTCTGGCAAGTCACTGTTTTTTTTTCATAAAAGGGCTGACTATAAATACCATCTTTCATATAACATATGCTTCACTGCCTGAGCCTGACAACAAACCTGAGTGAACTAGGGTTCATCAGAAAGGCTGATTTTGCCCTCAATATTATTGGGAGTTCTGCAGTGGCTCTTGGTAAGGTTTTTCTCCCATGTGTCAGTGCAATAAGGCTTCTTCTCCTTTCCGTATATAATGTCAAGGAAAGTCTGATTCATTACTTCAGGGGCTGAGCTAAATTATTTCCTCCTGGACCGCCTTAAAAGAAATCGTTTAAGCCTCAAATACTTACGCTGGCTGCAGCAGCAGATGTGTGAAAGAGTGGGCATTTGCTTTGCTTCTTGTGCTCGTCCTCAAGAAGAGGAGGCTCTCCTTAATCTGTGGGCTCAGAAGCACAGCAGAAGGACTTTTTGACCTAAGATAAAACAATGACAAAACCATTCCTGTGGAAGCACAGCATGCAGGCTCTTCAGGATGCTTCTGGAATATATTACTGGGGATAACTTAGTCTTTCTTTTCGAAAGAAAATCATAGCAATGCCTTTAGGAAAAAGAAAAGTCTTGTGTGATGAGGGGAAAGGAAAGAAATTGTTCGTGGTAATATTTAATAGTTGCTAAATTCAGAAGGCCCCGGAATGGGAAGATTTAACGTAAAATCAGGAGAGTGATCTGGCACAATTGCAAAGGCGACTTTGAAAGAGTTTCTCATTTTGGTCGCAGAGATCTTTCATTTCTTCTATTCAGATGCCCTGATAGATCAAGATTTGCAGCATTTTCAGTAATTGATACGCACTTTTTTTTCTCAAATGGGGGCCACTCCTGAGAAAATAATTTTGTTTCGTAAACATTATTCTGCGGAAACTGACTGCATGTTTCCATCCCCCTTGCAGAGGCACAGCAATAGCTGGAATTGTTTTCGGTATAGTATTTATAATGGGAGTGATTGCCGGGATTGCCATCTGTATCTGCATGTGCATGAAGAACAACCGTGGGACTCGAGTAGGGGTCATCCGAACTACACACATCAACACTATCAGCACGTACCCAGGTAAGGACGGGAAGTGACACCCCTGCAAGAGCGCCTGCGTTCATGGTAGAAGTGTATCTTTGGGTAGCTACAGCTGCGCAGTACGTGGGGGATGCGAATACACCGGGTGGCTCTTCTCAGTCCGGAGGGGAACAGCACAACTCCCTGCTGAGAAACGCGAGACAGCTCAGCGTGCGCAGTGTTCGTCAGTGCAGCACTCTGCCTGGGCTAATTTATTCAGCTACTCAGTGGGCTAATGAGATCTGGCGGGGTGCCATGCTCGCACAGCTGTAGGGCTTTGCGGTGCCCGCTGTGGCACATTGAGACCTCACTCAGGGCTGGGCTGCCTTGTGCAGGGTAGACCTGCCTGTGCCAGGGGCTCTCTGGCGACGGATCAGTTGTTCTTCTTTTGTGTTCTGGTTCTTGTGTTTGCTCTTGTTCACGTGCAGTCAGCTCCCTTCCATTGCCCGATGTAATGGGGAGGAAAACCTGGACAGTGGGGTCTGTGGATCATAGTGCGAAGGCTTCGAGTGGTGCCACGTGGAGTCTAACGCAACCCGAGCTGGCTGGTACTCGGCCAGAGCTCACCAGCCCTGCTGGGTGCTGTGGGATCCCAGATGACTTCTACCAAGGCACACAAGCTCCTTTGCAGCATGTTCTCTGCTGTGTGTCCCGGGAGGGACTGCTGGCTGGCGCGCAGTGCGGGATCCGAGCTGGCTCTCTGCCTCCGCCTGGTGCTGTGCCTGAACGGATAGGGACTGTGGAGCACAGTGCAGAGATGCCACTTGTGCCTTGGTCAAAGTCAGCTGAGATCTGGCGGTGCTCGTTAGCTCTGGCTTAGTGCTGGACGTGCTCAGCGCAGGCTTGTCTGTGGATTTATGTTGTTTTGGTGCAATTTTTTTTTTTAGGAGCAGGGCAGCAGCAGGGGAGGCGCAGAACCTAAGTCAGACCTGGCACTAATGAGCTGTCACAGGCTCTGGGGCGCCCCGTGGGACAGTAGGGACCCCTCATGGGTCTGCTCCAGGGCAGTTGTGTCCATGGTGGGTGGGAACTGGTACATCAGGCTGTACCTGAGCTAGCTCTGCGCAGAGCCACTGTCTGCACTGCACTTGTCAACTTGCGCCCCTCTGGGATTGGGGTACAGGAGCACAAAAGGACTGAGCCAGCTGGGGTCTGCATGGCTCGTTCGTCTGGGCTCCCTACCACGTGAAAGTGGCCGCATTGTTGAAGAGCAAAGCTGACCCTGGAAGCAGCATTACGGTGTTTATGCAGTGCAGCCATGTGTCTGCTTCAGTAACACTGTTAATTACAAACTTGGGAGCGATTGCCTTGGGATAACCTGAGAGTTCACTGTAATAAAAGGCAATGGTGTTTCATGGATGAAGTCCCCACATCCCACTCTTAGAGATCCCCTGCCTTTATATTCCCTTCTGTTGCAAAAGTTGCAGCAAATGGCAGGTGTGTTATGTGTACTTATAGGCAAGCAGCGCAGTATTTATTACGTGTTCCTTTATCACATTCACTGCTCTGAGTGTGTTTTCTCCCTCATGCTCTTACTTCCCAGTTAAACTAAAACCATCTATAATCATCCTTATCATTGCAACATTGTTTTGCATAGAGAGATGAGTAATGAAAGAAAATTGCAATATTCTCAACCATGAATTGCCAAAGAGCTACTTCAGAATCTAATAGTCCCTGCAAGCTGTAAAAACAAGAGCGAAATGAAGACTCCGGGGCTGTAGCCTTTTCCTCCCCAAGTCTGCTCCTGCAATGACTCACCCCTATCTCTCCACCTCCAGGAGTCTGACTCCGCACGCTCCCCGTTCCTGGTGCAACTGTTAGTTCCAGCAGTTCTTCCTCTCAGCAGCAGCAGGTTCTTGGAGGATGGGGAAGCTCTGGAATTATTTCTGTGTCCCCCACTGTCATGAACACCTCTGGAATAATGACTGACCTGGCTTTGGCTGCAGGGTTTGTGATCAACCCTCCCCCCTGCCTTTTCCTGTTTTCACGGAATCACAGAATCTTCAGAGTTGGAAGGGACCTCTAGAGACCATCTAGTCCAACTCCCCTGCTAAAGCAGGATTGCCCAGAGCACATTACTCAGGACTGCATCCAGGTGGGTCTTGAAAATCTCCAGAGAAGGGGACTCCACAACCTCCCTGGGCAGCCTGTGCCAGTGCTCTCTCACCCTAACTGTAAAGAAGTTTTTCCGTGTGTTGGAACGGAACTTCCTATGTTCCAACTTGTGCCCATTGCCCCTCGTCCTGTCACTGGGAACCACTGAAAAGAGTCTGGCTCCATCCTTCAGATACTTCCAACCCACCCTTCAGAGCCAGTGCTCTCTCACCCTAACTGTAAAGAAGTTTTTCCGTGTGTTGGAACGGAACTTCCTATGTTCCAACTTGTGCCCATTGCCCCTCGTCCTGTCACTGGGAACCACTGAAAAGAGTCTGGCTCCATCCTTCAGATACTTCCAACCCACCCTTCAG